TAGCAAATGGCTGCAATATAACAAAGAGTGAAAAATTTAAGGGGGTCTGAATACTTTCCGTACCCACTGTGTGTGTATATATATATATATATTAGTATGTACTACATAAATAATATAAGTAATAATTCATATAAATTGTAATATTACAGTAATAATGTGCACAAGAACTGCAAGTACCCAGCAATGACAAAAGACGCCTTATGCATTACTATCTTATTGTAATGATTACATAATCCCAGGAAATGCATCTGTGTGCTGTCCGAGAGCCGTCAGTCTGCCGAACAAACACACACCACCCTCAGCGTTTCCCCGCGGGAGCGACTGTGACAGCCTATCTCCCTGAAAACTGATGCAATAAACCCTGCTAAAGCCGTCAGCGGTTATAATTATGAGGCCTGCAGGAGCACAAGACCAGTGGCCACACACAAAACAGCCCAGCATTACATGCTGCACGCAGAGAGACGCTCCTGTGGACTCACACAGCAGCAGAGTTTCACTCAATTACTGCGTGGGCAGTGCATGCTGGGTAATGCAGAATCGTGACTTACCCTGTAGGTGAAGCGGACCGTTTTTGTGGATATGCCTTTCTTTCCTCTGCCCACCTCGATTTCCACCTCTCCGGTTTTGTAGAGTTTCGCTGGGCCGATTTCACACACCACACTGCCAGACAAACACACAACAACTACTTTAATTAAAAGATCCAGACACTGAAGTTCTACCAACATTCGTGACCATAAAAATACTATATATATTGCATTACATAGTTCATAAGCAAGAAAATCACTTTTTACAAACTTGCCTTTTGTAGAATTGCAAACTTTTTTGTTTTAATATTTTTTTATGTAAATACAAATAAAAAAATACATTAGATATATTAGATATACATATATAATAAAATAGCAAATTATTACATTTAGCAATTCAAAAAAATGTATTAATTTGTATTACTGTTTAACTGTTTACGTGTGTGTGTGTGTGTGTGTGTGTAGATAATATAAATAAAGTAGTTAATACTTTTAGAAATTTATTTTTAAAATGACATGTTCTATGCATTACTATCTTATAGTTTCTACCAACTGAAGGACGAGGTGGAATAATTTTCTGCACACAACACATCAAAGATGCTGTTCATAAAGCTTCAGCTATATTCAACCTGGAACATTCCTTCAACCTAATCGATTCTAAACGAGGTCAAAATGGGCAGAAGACAAGATTCATTAGCGCTGGACCCACTTTTCCCACCCAAACACCCAAAACATCAGATGCTATTAATTAACACCGATCCCACAGATTCCAGATTCATTACGTCCGAAATGTACCAACTCAGAGAACCGATCCTCTGGACGTCAACCTCCCCAGACAGCGATCTCTCCACCAGCTTATTAACCATTCTGAAGCCAAACTCTCCTGTGAAAGATCCTTTTCAAACACAAACACTCAGTCAGGCTGAACACTCACAACAGAGCTGATAAACCCTGATGTAGAATCAGTGACTCAGCCAAGCCTGACACTGCCTGTGAGAAAAGCTCCAAATCCACACTACATGCTCGGGATTTCAAACGTCTACCAATCTACCGTTGTTCTACAAGAGGAACCGCAAAGACAAACTCGTGCGCGCTTAATATTTCAAGCACAATACAACGCCTTGAGCAGATTCCCAAACACATTATTTGGATCGTTCTTGGGGGCATTTTGACATGTTTGAATTCTGGGTAATTCTTTTTGAATTAAGCTTTGAATGAACCAGATTTCTCAAACAGGACGTTTGCTGGAAATCAGGCCATTTGGTACCACAGAGATCTGCAGGGATTTCTTTTTATGAGAGCTCTCGTTCAACACCGAACACGCTTTGTGAGAGAGTTCAACCAAACTTGTTTAATTATTCCTGTGTAACACACAAATGTGAAAATGCTAACATGAAGCCACACAGGAGTAAAGTTATAATCATCAAGACACTTTCCATGAATAAAGTACACCTTGGAGTAACACAGCATATTTAAAAGCATTAGAGGCACACATCCCATGTTTTATTTAAATTAGATATGACTTTTGAACTATTACATGACATAAAACTAGTTTTACACAAATCAAATGTCTGTATCCCACCTTAAAATAATGATTTCAGCCTGTCCCACCTCAGAAGTCAGACATACTTTATCTAATAATTAAAATTATACAACCTCGTAATTTTGACAACATCTGATATTCAATTCGTAATAATTTAGAATTTCAGTCCATTTTATAAATATTTTAATGTGGACCGCATTCATCAAGCTCAAACATTCAACCCTGTTACCCAAGGTTTTTTCAGGAAATTTTATTTTTAAAATATGTATATGTAAATGTAGTAAAATGCTGTAATTTACAATTTTATTCACATGTAAAGGCACAAACATTTTATTCATATTATTATCATTTTATTACGTATTTATTATTTATAAATAATTAAGTCGATAATTAATTAAATTTTTGTAAATAAAAATGGTAAATTAATACATTTAGACATTCATAAAGCAAATTATTAATTTAATTGCATTATATATTTTTTTACAAATAATTTTCATATGTATGTGTGTGTGAATAACAGAAATAAAATATTAAAATTAATTAATTGCCTTTATATAAATATGAATAAAATTGTACATTACTACATTTACAAATTTATTTAAAAAAATATAATTTATATTATTATAATTTAGAATTTCAATCCATTTTTATAAATATTTTAACACGGACCGCATTCATCAAGCTCAAACATTCAACCCTGTTACCTGAGTTTTTTCTAGGATTTTTTAAAGGAAGTTTTATAAAATAAAATAAAATTATATATATAAAAATAAAATATTATACAAATATAACATAATAAATGTGTGTGTACTGTGTATATTTATTATCTATATATAAATACACACACATACAGTATATATTTTGAAAATATTTGCATATA